GATCTGAAAGGTCTCTTCCAGCCACAACACTTCTGTGGTCTCTGATTCTCTGCTTGACCACGAGCTGCACCTTGCACCCGAGTCCTGCCCGTCGCTTGCTGCCTCTCCAGCTCTGTTAGGAAGAGCTCGGTGCCCAATCATCCCAATCTTCCTTTTTCACATTGCTGGGGTGACCCAGCGTGTGTGGTGCCCCCGAGGCTCCGTGTGTCCCCATTATCTCTGGGTGTTAAATGAGGTGGAAGTGTGGAGAAGGCCACGTGTGACCACGCAGTGCTGGGCTGGCAGAATTGCCATTGCATAAGCAGCTCTCAAATACCAGCTTGGCATTTTCTAGCTTTCAGATGCCTGAAGCTGTGACCCAAAGTAGCATCTTGTAAGGCAGCAGGACACTCCAAGTTCCAAATTCCTTTTTTGAAAAAGGAAAAAACCCAAATCTCAGTTTTCTTCAGGGTGGTCCCGTGTCCCTGAGCTTTTCCCTGAGCACCACCAGCAGCATCTAAAGAAGTGAAGCAGCTTTCCTTGGAGATGTTTTTACGCCCTGTGAGCCCCAGGCTGGGCTGGCTGTGTGGAGAGGACCTCCCCAGACCCATGCAAGCAATGAATCCTGGCCGAGGAGCCAACTGCTGGCCCACAGCCCAGGCTCTGCACCCCGGTGGGCAGCGACTCGGCTCACAGAGGTTCAGGTGATGGGTGACTGCCTCCACGACCAGCTCACTGCTCAGAAGGTAAACGCTCCTTTTCAGCTACAACTGTGTTTTATTTCCTGGGTCTAGAACTGCTCAGTCTCACTGAACCTGTTGCTAAAGGTGAGGTCCAAAGAGGTGCAGGACTGCAGCCCGGTCTGGCAGCCTGCTGATGGTGGGGGTACAAATCTGTGTCTGTTGGTCTGGTGTTGATCTGCTTGACACAGGGAGGCTCTACAGGGGGACCTGGCCAGGGTGGATTGATGGGCTGAGGTTTCTGCCCTTGGGTCACAACAACCCCTGTGCAATGCTCATGATTCTATGAAAATACAGAGCCTGGACTGTCTATATTGAAATATATTTGTTCACATTTTAAAGCATGGAAAAGCATTTTAAATACAAGTCTATGTCAGCATAAATTTCTAACAACCCCTCTCTCTAACCCCCAAAACGAAGCATTTAAAATACCCCACTGACACTACAGAGGTATTTCTTCCTTTCTGGCATTTCAAAGGCAGCCAAAGCCCTGGGTGAAGGTGGTGACCAAGCAGCGGAACGAAACCGGGGTGGCCGAAACTGCTTTTGCCACCGGTGCTTCCTCGCCAGCTGCAGGCAGCAAATTCTCCCTGTTTTCGTGTGATTTGGTGAACTCAGTTGAGCGAGGTGTTTACACAGGGCTGAGAGAGCAGGTGGCAACTGGGAAGGCCAGAGAAGTCACCTTCCTCTTCCATTTTGTAACTGCAGATAAGGGATTGGAGGGATGAGTCCTAAAATCTTGGCAGACGTGGAAAGGGGGAACAGCCCGTTCACTTCACTGTGAATATTCCTTTTTTAAATTCATTTTAATTTTACTTTTATAAGGAAAACGTGTTTAATTAACTTCTATATACATGTGCATGCAACTAATTTGGGATAGTTTTATTTACCTAGTTAAAAAAAACAACCTTCAAATGCTGGTTTTGTGCTGTTGAGATTGAATTCCAGTTTTCCACGAAGGGGGTTTGCTGGTAAACAAGAAGCACCCTGTTCCCTGCTGAAAACCTCTTTGCTGATTTTCCCCTCCTTTTTCTGCTGGCTGTTTTGGGAAGCAGAACAGTCCCATCGTCCTCTCCTGGGGCTCTGAAATGTTGTGAGCCACAGGGACTTGCTGAGGGGGGACAGAATTTCAGCCCCCAAAGCCCTCATCACCCTCTTGTCCTGCCTCTTCCAGCCAAAGCCACCAGACCCACCAGGCCGTGACCAACCAGCACCCATGCCAAGACAGACTTTATTAAGCAAACCAATTAGCATCACTCTGCTCCTCTCCAGATGCTCTTTAGCTTCTCTTGTAAGACCAGATGTAGCCCGGAGTGGAGCTCCTGGCCTTGGGCTTTGCTCTCCTGCTTTGGTTCCTGCTGGTGGTCTTTGTCTCTTGTCTCCAGCTGATGTCCTAGGGCCGTGGAGGTTCCAGGAGAGCCCGGTGGCTGCTCTTGGCTTTATGTCCCTGCCTGTCCATGGGGCCATGATGAGGTGAAGTTTGGGTTCTGGCTAAGCTGGACTCACAGAAAGCTGCTCCTTGTTCCCAGGGCATCCTCTGACGCTGGCACCAGGGTGATGGGCACCCCCAGAGTAGGCACAGGAGGATGGAGCAGGGTGTGAATTTTCCTGTTACCTTTATTAGGACTTGATGAAGCTGTTGGACATTTGTGTCCCAAAATTTACATCTTTCCCATAGGTTCTGAGGTGGGACGTGTCCCTCTCCACAGCCACGTCCTCCTGACTCAGACCAGCCCGTGCCTGGAGAGAAGCATGACTCGTGCAAGACCCTCTGGGTGAGAGCTGTCTCCTCAGCTTTTCCTGTTGTCTTTGGGGAGAAAGAGGTGTTTTTGGAGGATCCTCAATCTCAGACAACTGCCAGCTTGGCCTGCTGGACACGTCCGTGGCTTGAGAGCTAAACAGTGGCCCCAAAATCCTCTTCTTGTAACACCCACATGGTGCTGCTCACCTGGGCTCCTCTGCCAGGGGCCCTACAGCCCAGGAGGGCCCTTGCAGCATGGAGAGTGACCACGCCTGGTCCTCTCCTTCCTGGGGATGGTGGGGCTGGGGGAGACCCGCCCCCCACCCTGGTGCCTCCGTTGCGTTGCCCAGGCAGGAGCTCAGCCCGTGGTGCGGGGGGTGCAGGTGCCTCCTGAGAGCTGCGTGGGCTTTAGGGGTTCATCAGGGGGGTGGTGAAAGCCACAGCAGGGGCAGGGCAGCCGTGGGGGGCACAGCCCGGACGTGGCAAAGCGAGCAGCCGAGGGCAGCAGGGCCCGAGCTCCGTGTGAGGCTCTGGAGGTCCATCAGAGCCGTGGCGTGGGGCAGGAGCTGGGGCCTTGTCCCTGCGGGTGCTGGCAGGGTGCTGGCAGGGACCCCGGCCACCAGTGCTGGCCTGGTGTGGGCACAGGACCCCTCACTCTTCACCTGGGTGCTCCCCAACTGTCCACTTGGCCTTCATGTCCCGGAAAGGAGTGATGTCCTCATAGGTGGCCATCTGCTCCACCTCCAGGCCCTGCACCAAGAAGAAGGAGGTTGAGATGGAAGACCTGGCTCCATGTACATCACACCTCCCACTGGGACCTCCAAGTGGGGACCCATCCCCCAGCGATTCCACCAGACACAGGGGCAGTTTCAGAGGGGGGAGAAGATGAAGAGAGGTGGCTGGATGTGCTCAGTTTGCCTTGGTTTGGTGAGCAGCTCTTTACAGCTGATGTGCAGCAGGCCCTTGGGAGGAGAATGCCCCAATGTGCCCAGCAAGGGCTGATGGCACTGGGCAGGCACCCAGCAGGGGCACAGCCGGGTGTTACAAGGCTCTGGGTAATAAAGAGGTGAGGGGTCTAGAGCCCAAGTGTGGGGAGGAGCAGCTGAGGGCGCTGGGGGTGCTGAGCCTGGAGCAAAGGAGGCTCAGGGGAGACCTTCTGGCTCTGCACAGCTCCTGACAGGAGCCTGGAGCCAGGGGGGGTCGGGCTCTGCTCCCAAGGGTCAGGACAAGAGGAAATGGCCTCAAGTTGCCCCAGGGGAGGTTGAGGTTGTCCCTGAGGAACAATTTCTTGCCCTGGAGGGTTGTCCAGGGCTGTGCCAGGCTGCCCAGGGCAGTGGTGGAGTCCCCACCCCTGGAGGGGTTTCCAAGCCGTGGAGCTGTGGGGTGAGGGACACGGGGCAGTGGGGACCTGGCAGTGCTGGGGTCAGGGTTGGACTCCATGATCTGAAAGGTCTCTTCCAACCAAAATATTTCTGTGATTCTATAATTAATGCAGCATTACCTCATAGGTGTGGTCCTCCTCTGGGCTCTGCTTGCTTTCCCCCTGTGGAGACAAGTCACAGGCTTGGTGTCAGCACCCACCAGGCTCCCCCATCCCCTGTCCCTGGCATCATCCCCCCAGATGTTTATTTCCCACTTCAGCTCACCATGCTCCCACCCAACAGCCCCAGTCCCAGCATCTCCCTGTCCCCATCCTGAGGAGCAGGACCCTGCTGTGAGCACCTCGGTGGTGGAGCTGGGACATCCCCTGCTGGACACACTGTCACTGACCTTATCGAGGAAGAGGAGCATGGGGACGCTGATGAAGACGACCAGCAGGATGGACTGGATGATGATGATGGCGTCTTTCAGGGTGTTCCTGTTCTGGATCTGCTGGATGTTGCTGTGACCTGGGAACAGCAGCACAGGGAGAGCCCCAAGTCCCACCTCTGTGCCAGGCTCCTGGAGGACAGGGATGAACTCGGCATGGTCAAGTGGATGTGGGGACCAGAGCGACACGTCCTCCCCCTTGGGAAAGACCAGAGCATTGCCAACTGCCCCTGGGGCTGGCATCAGGGACTGAGCTGGGATGAGACACCTTGGGCAGGACCCATCGTTAGCCCAGGCCAGGAAAAGTGTGATTTATGAGGGGGATGAAATTCCTGGGATGTGTTTCTCTGGGATGGATGTGCCAAGGCAAACTGTGGGACATTGTCCTGCTGCTTGGTTGTCCTGCCCAAGAGACATGGACCTGTTGGATTGGGTCAGAGGGGGCCACAAAAATGGTCTGAGGGCTGGAGCCTCTCTGCTGGGAGCCCAGCAGGAGAGAGTTGGGCTGGGGCAGCTGAGAGGAGAAGGCTCCAGCTGGGGAGACCTGCTGGGGGCTGCCAGGACTGCCAGGGGCCTGTCAGGAAGCTGGGGATGGACTTTTGAGCAGGGCCTGTTGGGAAAGGACAAGGGGGGTAAGTTTAAACTAAAAGAGAGGCATTTAGACTAGAGAGAAGGAAGGAATCTTTGATGCAGAGGGTGTTGAGCCCCTGGCCCAGGCTGCCCAGAGAGGTGGTCGCTGCCCCATCCCTGGCACCATCCCAGGGGAGGTTGGCCGGGGCTCTGAGCACCCTGCTCTAGCTGGGGGTGTCCCTGTCCCTGCAGGGGGGTTGCACTAAGTTGGACCTTGAAAGGTCCCTTCCCACTCAAACCAGGCTATGATTCTATGATTCTGACTGGTGGAGCTGGCAGCAAACAAAGAAACCTCCATGGTGCCATGGAGCACCTACAGTTGTGTCTGAAGGGGTCCCACCAGCATGGGGAGAGTTGAGTGCACAGGAGCACGATGTGGGGTTCATATGGAGGGGGAAAGGAGAAGGGAAGGAGAAGGACCATCTCCTGGGGTGCACGGAGGCGGGGAGCTCCCACTCACCCATGACTCTGAGCTCTGTCCCACAGGAGTGTGGCCGCCTCTTCTCCTGCGTGAGGTTCTTGCTGTCGCACACGTAGATGCCGTTGTCCTCGTAGGCGATCCTGAAGATGGTGAAGTTGATGAAGTTCTCTTTCCTCTCGATGCTGTGGTGGGAGGTGTTGTGATCCAGCTGGTAGATGTCCTTACTGTTCTCTGTTGTTTTGTACCACTGCATGCTGTCGGGGTGGTGGGAGTAGCAGATGAAGTGGACGGGCGTGTTCCTCTTGGCCGCCACGTAGCGCGGGTGCTGCTGCACCATGGGGCACCCGCTGCCTGCCAGGGGACAAGGGTGGGCATGGTGAGCAAGGACCTGGGCAGTGCCAGAAAACAAATCCCCTCCTGTGAGACCTCCCCAGCATCTCCCAAATCAAGCGCTTTCCATTTTCATGGAGTCTACCACTCTTGAGCAATCAGCTTTCTTTTGGGGAGTCAGCATCATCTGGGGGTAGAAATCAGAAACTTTTCATGGAAACCCCAATTTTCTTGGGAAAGGCTTCACTCAAATACTTTTTTTTTTGCTGCTCCCACCCCTCTCTCTGTCCATCTCCAAAACCATGCACCATGGAGCTGGGACAGGCCCATCTCCCCAGCTGGCCTCTCGTGCTTCCACACTTTTTGCATTTTGGTGTGTTCTGTATTTCTGCCCGTGTTTTGGCTCCAGAGCTGGTGAGTTTGAGGGCTCCTTTGGGTTGCAGAGTTCCTGTGTCATACCCCCCTGGGTGGGAATGGCACAAGTGTTGTGTCCATGACCCCAGTGCCTGGTCCCAAGGTGTGGGTTGTCCCTCCAACGTGCTCTGCAGGCGCAGAGGGAAACGTGTGTGTGCTTAGGGAGGATAAAATGGATCCGGCTCTGCTGAGGGAGAGCAACGTGCAGGGCTGGGGAGATGCCACGGAGCACATCACAGCCTGGGAACTGCCTTTGTGATGGAGCAGGCCTGGGGGTGATGGGACATCTCCAGCTCTTCAGGGGGACGGCACCTCCGTGGCGTAGCAGGAGGGGATGGGAGGGACCCTGGGGACACACGCAGGGGAAGATCCCAGTGGGTCTGAGAGGTTACCTGTCGTGCTGCTGGTGCCGTTCTTGTGTGCTGAGATCCCACCTGCAAGACAGAAGAAGGGCCCTGAGATAGTGGCCAAGAGCCCATATAGAATGAGTCCGTGTAGGATGTCACAGAACCCCAGAACCCCAGTGTGGTGGGGTTGGGAGGGACCTCTGGAGATCATCCTGTCCAACCCCCTGCTCCAGCAGCTCAACCCCAGCAGGGTGCCCAGGGTGACAGCCAGCCACGTTTGGGATCTCTCCAGAGCAGGAGACTCGACAGCCTCTCTGGGCAGATGCTCGGCACTGTGGGGTGGCACGTACCCCGGGTCCTCTGTGCCCACTCCGTGTGGGGTGGAGAGCTTGGGAGCATCGACCAGAGCCCCACTCAGGGGACATGGGGCAGCACAGATTTGGGTACAAACCCTTCTGTTTCCACCCCATCTCCTCAGTCTTCTCTAAGCAAGCTGCTCTCTGGTTGACATCCCATGAAACCTGCCCTCACTATTTATACCCCCGAGGCTGGCACCTCTCCGAAAGGGCCCAGACAGACTCACACCTCTTTAGTGACACTTTCCATTCTCTGAATTAACAAGAAACACTTTCCCTGCTGGGGCTTCCCTGGGCCTGGAGCCCCGTGATCATCAGGGAGGTTCTCAGAACCCAGGGAGGTTCTCCGACCCCAGGGAGGTTCTCAGATCCCAGGGAGGTTCTCAGACCCCGGGACCACGCAGCCCCCAGGGCCAGCGAAGCTATGGGACCTGTGATGCAGTTCAGGAAGCAGGGTGAGGTGGGGACCCCCCAGCACCCTTGGGTGGTCCTGCCCACAGCCCCAGCAGCCCTGTGCCTCGGTTCCTCTTGCTGCAGCTGGGCAGGAAGCACCAGCCCTGTTTACTGCACCGCTTCAGTGCCCAGCTTCTCGGGTATTCGCCCACCCCACCGTGGGGAAGCTGGCACGGAGGTGGGGGCTGAACCACCGCCCAGCACGTTGGGGCAGCTGCAAAACTATCCCCAGAAGAAGAAGAAGAAGAAGAAGGAGG